AGGGGAAGAGGAGCGGAGGAGGAGGAGTTGTATGTTACACTGAAAGTGCGCTGAGAAAGGTGAGGAGAACCAGGAGAGAGATCTATTTGAAGCTTTGACATGCAGTGGACCTCTGTTTGCTTCAAACATTCAGTCATATGTAGGAAGAGTTTCCTATTTGAAGTTGCTGTGAACTGGAGGTTTAATTAAAACCTTTAACCCACTTGCCCTACAGAGGATTTACCCCCCTTCCTGACCAGGCCATTTTTTGCATTACAGCGCTGCGTTACTTTAACTGATAATTACACTGTCATGCATCACTGCACCAAAATTAAATTTTCGTCCTTTTTTCCACACGAATTGAGCTTTCTTTCTGTGGTATTTGATCGCCTGTGTGTTTTTATTTTTTGTGCTATAAAAAAAAAGACCAAGAATTTGAGAAAAAAACTATATTTTTGACTTTTTGCTATTAAACATGCCCAATAAAAAAAACAAAAAAACTAATTTCGTCAAAAATTTAGGCTAAAATGTATTCTGCTATATGTCTTTGCTAGAAAAAAATCCCAATACATGTAAATTCATTGGTTTACATGAAAGTTATAGAGTTTACAAATGGCGGTATGCAGTGTATATACTGGGATTTTTTTTTAACTAGTAATGGCAGCAATCAGCAACTTATAGTGGGACTGTGGTGGACATTCTGACACTGGGGGGAACTGACTTGGTGTCATCGACATCCACAGTGACACCAATACAGTGATCAGTGATAAAAAAAGTACTGACACTGTACTAATGGCACTGGGCAGGAAGGTGTTAAACGTGAGGGGTGATCAAAGGGTTAACTGTGTGCTGGGTGTGTTTTACTATGGGGCGGTGTCTGTGTGCTTCAATGTAAGCACACTGCTTTGAATGGCTCTGCTGTGCGGAGCTGACAGGGAGGAGAACTGTTAGTAAACAAAACAGTCCTTCTCCCTGTCAGAGATCCTCAGTAATCACTGAGCACCAGCGAGTAATCACTGACATCGAATCACCGAGTAATGACAGACGTGGCCACGGAATACAATCTACATACCCAGAAAATCAAAAGCACGTATATATATGTGATTTTGCGCACCTGTGCCACCCTGTAGCATTTCTACTATAGGGTGGTTGGGAAGCAGTTGAACCACTTTAGTACACTAAGCTCTAGATATCTGTAGCAAGCAAAGTTTCAATGGGATTGACCCTGTTAAAGAAAATTACTCATCCTCATATTTGCAACAGGCAGCTACTCCTGTCTTCAGTCTCTGGCAGAACTATGGCTGCCATGGAAATTCAACATTGTTGGGGTGTCGGATAGCTTGTCCCTGATTGTGTGTTGTGGCTTCTCCCAACAAACTCTTCATTACTATTGTATCCTGTTGTTATATAGGGACTGGTAGAAGGAACCAGAGTGTACAGCTAAGGACACTGGGGGACTTACTAAAACTGCAGCACTCAGAATCTGGTGCAGCTTAGCTTGGCAGCCAATAAACTTCTAACTTCAGTTTTGTTCAATTAAGCTTTAACAATAAAACCTGGAAGCTGATTGGTTTCTATGCACCAGATTCTGTACTTTCCAGTATTAGTATATAACCCGCAGTTTAGGCTCCATGTACACTGGGCTTAAAAATGCTGCTTCAGGAGGAGTTTTGTGTTTTGCCTGAAGTAGCAGCTCAATTTTATCCTATGTGTCCATGCACATTAGGGTGCTTAGAGACAAATTTTAAGTTCAGCATTTAGAGGCAAAAAAAAAAATCCCATCTGGTTTGCATTTTTGAGAGGAGTTTTCTGGCAGAAAAAAATGCTAAACATTCCTAAACGCCTATACAAAAAAACTCTATATGAGCTTTTTTTCTGCAAAAGGAACTGGTGTTTTTGTAAGCTCAGTGTGCATGGACCCTCCTTTTTCTAGCAACAGTGTAATTTTAATTAAAAAAAAAATAATAAATTGTTCACTTTGAAAAGGCAATGCAATTTTGTGTTCATTTTAAACATCTTCTCACATGCAAACAAACATTCCAATATTTATATTTCCCTTGTGCATGATCAAGTATTCAAAGTGAACCTCATCTTATCTTAACTTCACCTTAACCATTAGGCTAAGTAAGAACTCACTTTGCAAAGTAAAAAAACTCTACTGTAGTAAATCAATCTCAGTATTTCCCATTGGGAATGGGCGGAATGGGCAGGGAATCCTTCAAGAACCTTGACAGCAACAAAGATCAAGAAAAGCAATATTTTTTATACAGATTTTATATCATATACAGTATGGCAGATTGGTGGTTCTGGGTTTAATTTTGCTGACTTTCAGTGTTAAAGTCAAGAGGTATGCCTCTGTACCAGTGCAGGCCATTACATTGTTATGTGCCCACCTGGTACCTCGAAGTCGACATGTCTATGTGAATTATATTAATCTTGTTACCACTGAGCTCCCAAGTACATCATCATAACTCAAATTTCACTGCACAGCTACTTGTGATTTCAGAATCACCAGTGAACCATATTTCAGGTTAATAAACTTGAAACATCTCAGACATGAAAGAATTGTTCAGTCTTTACCCTCTAGATCCAAAGTCTACAACCCCCCTGCCCAATCCCCCATACATGGTGACTCTTAAATAAAACATGATTCTCTCCTTCTTAGTAAATAAATAATCCTGAAAAATACAGCAGGTCAACCATCTACATAATTAGGGCTCTATTCAGGTCTAGTTTTAATTGTCATAGTATTTCTTGTGTTGGCATAAAAAAGGGGCATTGCATAAATCAGCCGTAGGTAGTCATCCATATATAATGACATTTACAGCACAGCCGAGCGAGGCCAAAAGTGAGAAAATAACACATAGAGGGATGTTACACTTGATGTCTGAAAAGTGAGATTGTTTCAGAAACCGGCATTTCAAGAGTATATCATATATGCTGATTGTTTTATCCTGCTGGTGTCACATTCCACTTTTCATTTAAATTGGTCATTATCTTTTTCCCACTTGTGAAAGGTGATGGCAACATAAACCATGTAGCATGGATTATTTAATTCCTGTACATGTGGCTGTTTCCAAGATACAGTACGTTTGATTCATGCTACGCATGGAGATAATTTGTGTTGCTGAAGGTCATGGAGAGATAGTTCACAGGAACCAGCTTTGTCTTGTGATGTGGAGAGATACACTGTTGTGAAGGGATGTGGAACCTCACACACATCTTGAAAGCATTTTTTAATCTTCACAGGTTATTACTTGGAGAAGGGAATACTATGTAGAGGCAAGTTTTTTTTTTTTTTACTGTTTTTAACATAGCTGAAATAAGTAGCAAGGCACATTTCATCTTTTCACATTAGATATAGACTTAGTTTAACTCTACATACACTTTACAGTAAATTATATGAATTGAAAACTATAAGGAAATATACTGTATGTTCATCTATGCATAAATGTCCTAGACTTATTTTGAAGTTGTATAATTATATAAACACTGTCATTATATTTAAAACTGAACTTGAAACAAAATATGAAACAATGTACCATTAATCATTAAATCACTTCTAAAAGCAACTAGTAGTACCTGAATTGGACTTAACCCCTTTACTCCCTAGTAACTCACATATGCAGCAGCAAAATGCTGGGCTTTAAGGCCCACACACTGTACATATGCATTACTTGGCTGGCAATGTTTATGTGCTGGGTGCGCCCTGCTGAAAATGGATCTCAGTCCCAGGAAAATATTGGTAGACAGCAGGGCTGGCTTCCGATCACGTAACCACTGTGACAGCCAATCGCAGTGGTCACATGATCGCTGATCCTTTCCGCCACCACGGGCATTAGGAACTTTTAAAGGGGATCCATTGCTGAGCGGGCAATGTTTATGTGCTGAGAGTGCTCTGCTGAAAACTAATCTCACTCCCGAGAAAATACCTGTAGCCAGCAGAACTGGCTTCCGATCATGTAACCACTGTGATAGTCAATCACAGTGGTCACATGATTGCTGATCCTTCCTGCCACCATGGGCATTAAGAACTTTTAAAGGGGATGCATCACTGGGCGGGCAATGTTTATGTGCTGAGAGTGCTCTGTTGAAAACTAATCTCAGTCCCGAGAAAATATCTGTAGCCAGCAGAACTGGCTTTCGATCATGTAACTACCAGGGGCGGAAAGAAAACTCATGGGGCCCCCGGGCAATAGGGGATCATGGGGCCCCTGTGTCCTTGGCCAAACTCAAAAAAGCCTATGAAAAAGGTACCAGGGGCATCTCATGGGGCCCCCTACTGACTCCGGGCCCTCGGGCAGTGCCCGAGTTTCCAAATGGTCAGTCCGCCCCTGGTAACCACTGTGATAGCCAATCACAGTGGTCACATGATTGCTGATCCTTCCCGCCACCTTGGGCATTAAGAAACTTTAAAGGGGACACCAGGTGTGGGTTAGTACCTTGAAAAGAGGAACTTCACCTTGATTGTAAACAATTATAGCCAGCAAGTACATATAGAAATACTGTAGCTTCTGACTTTTAAGAAAGATACTTACCTGTCCATGGAGTCCAGCACTGTCTTCCTTCTGCTGATTCATCTCTGGCCTTTGGCTTTCTGGTGTCACCATTTTGGCTTTGAGAGCTGGCTGTGACTTCTTAATGTCTCACAGTTCACTCCCCACTGCATACATGTAAGGCACAGTAATGCAGTGAGTGATTCTGCAAGATCCTGGAATGTGTGATGTGTTCAATAAGGCTGTGAGTGGAGGAGGCACAATGCATGTAAATGTCACTTAGATTGGGATTGAGGCAGTGTGAGCTGGTACCTATCAAAAAAGGTAACTGTTCCCTAAAAAAAAAAAAACCTGAAAAAATATAACTGTACTAAAGGCTAGAGGAAGGCTTGAGGAAGGATGAGGCTGAGCTGTACTTTTTTGGTAAAGGTCAGCTTTAACCATTTGCCCTCCAGAGGATTTACCCCCCTTCCTGTCCAGGCCATTTTCTGTGATGGGCACTGCGTTATTTTAACTGACAATTGTGCTGTCATGCAACGCTGCACCCAGTTGAAATGTATGTCCTTTTCCCCCCAGTGACACTAATACAGTGATCAGTGCTAATAAAAAGCACTGATACTGTACTAATGACACTGGGCAGAAAGGAGTTAACATGTGAACGATCAAAGGGTTACCCTGTGTGCTGTGTTGTGTTTTACCATGGAAACATGCTGCTTTGTATTGCTCTGTTCTGCTATTGCTGCTGCTATTGCTGACTGGGGAGAGATTTTGTATTTTTTACATACAGACCTCACCCTGTCAGTGTCCTTGGTGATTGCTGGTTGCCAGTGGGGAATCTCAGCTGGGACCCGGGTGATCTACAGCTGAAGCCGCCAATGGGGGTGCGGTTGGCAGTGCACATGTGCGCCCCCCAACCCAGAGATGCTAAATCACTTATATACAAGTGATTTTGCACAGTCCTGCCACCCTATAGCAGTTAGTTCTGCTATGGGAACGGCCGGGAAGCTGTTAACACTAGTCTTCTGTAATCCCCTCTACAGAAGGGCTCAGACTAGGAGAAGAGCCATCAATCAGGATCTGGGCAGTGCCCCCATGTGTTGACAAGAGGAGAGTGAGTAGAAACATAACAATGGGTGCAATTCTGTTCCTTCATTGTTCAATCATTTGGCTAGTAGGGGGTAATTGACCAAGCTGGGCTTTTCCTGCAAAGGATCTAGCTATGTTGTCTGGCAGGGGTGCCTATATCCCTAAAATATTGGCATAGAGTCAGAAATCCATTGTCAGGAGAAACGGTAGAACAACAATTTTTAGTTTGTGAAAATAATATATGGTTTAAAGTAGAAGAGAAGCCTAACACTATCTTTCCTAAATGTCGTACCAATTTGCAAAAAAAGGATTGAGGTGAATATCAGGAAACTACAGACCAGTCAGCAGTAACATCAGTAGTATGTAACAAATTTGTGGGACTGGTATGGTGGGACTCTATGCAGGAATGTGTCTGTGATAAACATATCATAAGTCACAACCAGCATGGATTTATGAAAGACCATTCTTGTTAGACCAACCTTTTATCATTTCATAAGGAAGTAAATGAAAAATTGCATGGCAGAAGTCCTAATGGATGTAGTTTATTGAGATTTTGCTAAGACATTTGACCTTACTGTACCTTATAAACTTTTAATCTATAAAATAAGGTCAGTTAGAGATGATGAAATTGTATGTACATGGATAGGAAACTAGTTACATTAAAGGGTCCAGAGAGTAGTGATTAATGACCCATTATCTGAATGGTCTAAGGTTGTGGTGTGTCCTAAGGTTCTGTCTAAGGGCCAATGCTGTTCAATTTGTTTATCAATGATATAAAGCTCAATTTCATTGTTTGCTGATGATACCAAATGATGCTGGGAAATAACTTTGGAACAGGATATGGCATCATTACAGGAGGAACTTGACTAAATAGGGGGTTGGACAGCTACATAGCAGATGAGGTTCAATACTGAGAAATGTAAAGTTATGCAAAAATGCATATGCAAAATATATATTAGGAGGGGCTCCTCTGGGAGAATCAGTGATGGAAAAGTATTTGCGGGACTTAGCAATAGCATGCAATGTCAAGCCGCAGCTAACAAAGCTAACAAGTTATGCATTGAAAAGGGTATAAATTTAAAAGATATATCAACATTTTTACCTCTTTACAAAACACCAGTTTTTCCTCATCTTGAGCCAGTTTTGGTCACCAATCCTCAAGAAAGACATTGTTGAATTAGAAAGAATTCAGTAATGGGCACAAAAATGAATAAGGGGGGTGGAGGACCTCACCTATGAGGATCAATTGCATAGTTTACATTTACTCACTCTGGCTAAGAGATGCTTAAGAGGGAATATGGTTACAATACACAATTATACCAAAAGTGACTTCAGTAACTGTTATGAACTACTTACTGTAAGGTTTCAGAAGAGGACATGTGGCCACAATCTGAGATTAGAAGAAAGGAGGTTTAGCCATAAATTGCAGAAAAGGTTCTTTAGTGTCAGAGCAGTTAAAGTGTGGAACTCCCTACCTCAAGAAATGAGGAAGGGAGTTAAAGTAGATCTTCACCCTCAACTGGATGTAGCCTCCCCACCACCCTCCTCCCCTCTGCTGTGTAAATCGTATTTTCTTTTTGTTTTTTTTACTTTTTTGTGAGAAGCTTTTGGCCTGCCCCATGTGCATATCACTCGCCTAGCCAAATGACATGTACTTTGCCATTGTGCCCCCTGGAATATGTACATTACATATTCCTGGAGGCATAGTCCTTCACTGAGGAAGGTGAAGCAGAAAGTGTGTCATTGGGAAGCTGCAAGCTAAACCCGGAAAAGCTAGCATCATACTGATGATACCACAGAGGAAGGTGGGACTTTGATAGTGTGGTGGGAAATCTGGTGCTAGCTGAGGCTGGCTGGAAGGTACACTAACTGACTAACTGATACTGACATCAATATTGACAATAATACAGTGATCAGTGCTAATACTGTACACTGGCACTGCACTAATGACACTGGCTGGGAAGGGGTTAACATTTAGGGGCAATAAAAGGGTTAACTGTGTGCCCCAGTATAGCATCACATTTATCTAAATTCATGTATATGTACACCATAGTTTGTAAACAATATAAATTTCACACAAACCAATTAACATACACTTACTGGGATTTTTTTTTACAAAGGCATGTAGCAGAATACATTCTGGCCTATTTGAAGACATTTTATTTTTTAATTTGATATGTTTTATTACAGAAAATAAAAAAAAATATTGAGTTTTTTCAAAAAATTTTAGCTCTTTTTTTGTTTATATAGAAAAAAATTAAAAACCCAGTAGTGATCAAACACCACCAAAAGAAAGATATATTTGTGTGAAAAAATTATATACATTTCATATGGGTACAGTGTTGCATGACTGAGAAATTTCCAATTAAAGTAGCACAGTGGTGAATAGCAAACACATGTCCTGGTCGGGGTAAAACGTTCTGGAGGCAAGGTGGTTAAAGCTGACGTTTAGTGATTTTATTTTTATAGCTACATGAAATTGCATGTATCCCATTTCCTGCAGGCTTCTGTCTAGTACTGTTAACAGCAGCTGCTAATATTGTGAAGAGTTGTGCTGCTTGCTTGTCCCCTTCTGTCATTTAGAGATCTCATACTACTATTCCCCTACAATGCAACATGTTCTGTGAATGGAGGAGGGACAGATGAATGACAGGATCTCCACTGCCCATTCACAGAATGTGTTTCCTTGCTTGGGAATAGTAGTTTATAGTCTCTGAATGGAGAAAAAAAGGGTGGGAGAGACTGTTCACACTAGCATTAACTCCTGTTAACTCATACAGCACCAGAACACAGCCACTCAGGACAATATCCAGTGGTTATGAAGATGACATGATGGCAAGAAACAGCTGCCTGCAGGACATGGGATTCACACAATTACACACAACGAATGTATTTGGTGCTATATAGATCCTACAAATTACTAATTAATTATGGACTTCAGCATTACAAAACATCCGCTGTGTGTTTTTACATTAGAGTGGTGGTGGGCTGCCAAGAACTGCTCTAAGAGAAAGACATTGATTTCTTTACTATGTTTTATACTTTGAAACATAATTTCTCCACAATGTTTAGAGAATAGGGGCTTAAATGCCTTTACTGTCTCAGAATATGTACTGTAAATACTTTAACATACATAGGATCACTTTCAGTCAACTTATTGATATTATTATTATTCAGGATTTATTTAGTGCCAACAGTTTACGCAGTGCTTTACAACATAACGACAGACAGTACAATTACAGTACAATTTAATACAATAGGAATCAAAGGGCCCTGCTCATTATAGCTTGCAATCTAAGAGGTTGAGTAAAGTGATAGCAAAGGTAATAACTGTGGGGGGATGATGGAGAAAATAAAAGTACAGTTGTTAGGTGGGGGTGGGTAGGTTTTCAGGGATTGCCCAAAAGTGGGCAGACTGAGAGATAGTTGGACAGATTGGAGTAGGGGGTTCCAAAGGATGGGAGAGGATTGGGAGAAGTCCTGGAGATGATCATTGGTGGAGGTGATAAGGGAGCTAGGTAGCAGGAGGTCTTGAGAGGAACAAAGAAAACAATTTGGTTGTTATTTTGAGACTGGGTTAGTGATGCAGCTGGGGGCAGAGTTTTTGGATGGCTTTGTAAGTTGTTAGAATTTTGAATTTAATTGGGTGAGCGGAAGCCAGTGCAGGGGTTGGCAGAGAGGGTAAGCAGACACTGAACGTTGGTAAGGTGAATGATTCTGGCAGCAACATTCATGATGGATTGAAGAGGGGACAGCCTATGTAAAGGTAAACCAATGAGGAGGGAGTTGCAGTAGTCGAGGCAGGAGATGATCAGGGAGTGGACTAGGGGCTTTGTGGTGTCATTGGTTAGGATGGGTCATATTGTGGAGATGTTGCAAAGGTTGAGGTGTCAAGCTCTGGACAATGATTGGATGTGGGGCCAAAAGGTAAGTTCAGAGTCCAAGATTACATCTAGCACCTTGGCTTGCAGGGAAGGTTTGATGGTTGAGCCATTGAACTTGGCAGAGAAATCGGGGGAAGGGGCACGTGGGGGAAGAAATACTCTGAGCTCAGTTTTGGATATATTGAGTTTGAGGAAGTGGTGTGACATCCAGTCTGATATGTCTGTTAGTAAATTAGTGATGCATGTGGAAACTTATGGAGTGAGCTCAGGGGTAGAGAAATAGATTTGGGTGTCATCAGCGCAGAAATGGTAATGGAAGTCATCGGAGGCTATCAGCTGACCCAGGGGGGAAGTGTAGATTGATAATATGAGATGTTTAAGAATATAACCTTGGGGGTTATTTATAGCTTGTATTTATTTATTTTATTACTGTTGTGGACAATATTTGCATGCTATAATATTTCACTAAAATAGGGAGTATAGAGGCCAGGCGTGGACTGATAACTCATGGGGCCCCCGGGCAATAGGGGATCATGGGGCCCCTGTGTCCTTGCCCAAACTCAAAAAATCCTATGAAAAAGGTACCAGGGGCATCTCATGGGGCCCCCTACTGACTTTGGGCCCTCGGGCAGTGCCTGAGTTTCCAAATGGTCAGTCCGCCCCTGATAGAGGCTGAAAAAAAAATTGTTTTTTACTTGAAAACAGCCTACACCATTTAGTACACAATCCACATTCCTGCATTGATTTGTTCCTTTTATATCTGCCTGGAATTCAGTTTCAAATACCTTTCTGAAATTTGCTGCTCTGTATTATCCCATGAGTGTCAGATATGTGACCAAATGCTGGATCACTCTTCATATGATATCAGCCAAGGGAGCTTGGTGAAGTGACATAAAAGCAGTGTTGGCTAACTAGCCACACTGCCTGGAGCATGATCCCATTGCAGATGGACTCATATGAACAATGCTTCAGCATTTGATAACTTATGTATAGTTCTGTTGGATATATAGCAATTGAAGTCTACAGAAGCAATGTTTTAAAAAATGTTAACTCGAACAGGTATTCTGTATTTGGTTAGGTTTTAAGGGTTGAAATGTTAAAAACAATTCTTGCTGTATAAATGAGAAATTATTCATAATTGCAAGTTATTCATGCCAAAGCATTGCTAACCTGTCTAGCTGCTTTGTCTTATGGGAACTGAAATTTAGGGCTGCTGAGATTTTTGTCATAGATGGGTGTCATTGCCTGAACTAGCTGCAAATTACATAATTGGGAGTCTGTCACCTTGTAGGGTTACCATAAATGTGATTCAGAAAGTGAAAATAACTGTATACAATTTAAGGACCTTCTATTTTTAGAGATTTTAAAAGAACCAAAATGGTGGATTGCTGGTAATTAAGACATTTATGCAATGGTTCAGTAATCAGGGATGTTGCGATGATTTTGGGGGCACACTGAGAAGATGAATTCACTGGAGCCAAAGCAAACGGCGGGCATTAGACTTCAATGGTCAGTGTTCTCTTTCATTGGTGTTCAGAGGAAGCTTCAGTGTTTACTTACCTAAGAAAGCTACACAGGTTCTATGCATTCCCTCCAAGGTCAGTGCTGGACTATTTTGCACCCCAGGCAACACTAGCTACTTGCACCCCCACCCCCAAAAATAATATAAAACTTCAAAAACTCACGGAACAGTAAATTAGAAGAAATCTTGCAATGGGGACACCAGTTCTGTTTACCTTGATTTGCTGAAGATTTCCTATTTCTTCCCGTTGTGTCAACAGGACAGGAAATAAGTGGAAAATATGCCAATGGGACACCAGTTCTATTAAAACTGATTTCCTGATGCTTTACTTTTACTTCTTATTGAGTCATTGGGACAGGAAATGAGGGGAAATTTGCCAATGGGGACAACAGTTCTGTCTACCCTGTCTAATTTTCTGAAGATTTCCTTTTACTTCCTGTTGTGTTACCAGGACAGGAAATGAGGGGAAATTTGCCAATGGGGACAACAGTTTTGTCTACCCTGCCTAATTTTCTGAAGATTTCCTTTTACTTCCTGTTGTGTTACCAGGACAGGAAATCTGCCAATGGGGACACTCTCTCATTTCTTGTGGTTATTGTATTTAGGACAGGAAGTGAAGGCAAATCTCCCCAGTGACATGCAGAATAGCCTGGGCAATTTCTACTCTATCCAAAACTAAAATACACTGTGGTGACAGGTGTAATACCTTACTCTGCGCTCCAGGGGTTGCCCTCTTCACACCTTCATTCCACCACAGGAGTTCAGGAATTTACCTCAGTCCTCTGTCCAGTCAATCATGCTCACCGACAGAAGCACTTCAACACACAACAGCAAAGATATGCAAAGAGAAGACGGGACTTTTCCCAGTGACTGATGTCCGGTGGATGCGCACAGCTAATATGGAGTGGGTGGCGCAGGCTTGATGAGCTGCAAAGTACAGGCAGAGGGGTGCCTAACTCAGTGATTGACAGCAGAGGGACTCGCAGCCAGTTTACCGACACAAAGTGACTCAAACATGTTGTGTGAGTGACAGCAGCACAGTTTGAGTTGTTCAGCAGCTAATGAGAGGCAGGCAGGTGTCTAGCCTGTCAACCAATGAAAAGTAAAGAAGGGTTGGTTTGGCCAATCAGAGGCATTCCACAGCATTGCTAGGATACCAGGATGAAGATAGGGAAAAGTTAAAGGAGGGTGTGATGCGGAACATTGGAATGTGTGGGGAACATCGGTGGACTCTGTGGGGAAGCCAGTTGAGTGTTAGGAAGCAAACAGAGAGTAGGGAAATCAGTGGCCATAGCTGCCCCCTAGCAGTGCACCCTAGGCGGCTGCCTAGTTTGCTTAACGGTAGCGTCAGCTCTGATTCCCCCTCCATGTCTATAAATTTATACAGGCCGTATCAGCCTGGATATATCTCCTTCACACAAAGCCAACACATTGATAAGTCTCTAACTCTGACACCCAGAGTGACTGTCAGAGATCATCCTAGATTCAAGTAACATGGCAAAAACCTCTTGCACGTGCCTTTGGTGCCCAGGTCTATGACAGCAAAACATGTATTATGTTTGACGCATGCTAGGTGGTCCAAGACTGCAGGTATTAAAAAGTGCAACTTGAGTTTTTAAATCAAGGCATCTCTAGTGATGGGCTGAACATCCCCCCTGTTCAGTTCACGATCAAATATTTGAACCTAATGAAATTTCAACCACAAACTTCAAACCCAGGGGAGGA